CACCTTCGTCGGCACTCAAAAAGCATGGGGAAAGGGCGGAAATTCACGCTGACCTCCCGCAGAGGGCGAGGTCTATACCACATGTTAAGTGGCGAACGTATTAGGTGGCACCTAGCCTAGGCGGCGAACCCGGCAGAGAAAGGGGAAAGTGCGTGGAGATTGCAGAGACGCAGAGGGTCATGTAGAGGGCGACTAAAATGTACCCCTGAGTACATTTTAGTCGCCGTCTATCTGCGTCTCTCAATCCCCATGCACTTTCCTCTTTCTCTGCACGTCATGCATTGGTCGCATTGAGCGCGTCTCTGCGTCCCTGCCACGCCTATTGATTCGCTTGAGCGTCCCCTCTCGCCCGATTCCGATACAAGCGCTCTTGGAGGATTATGTTCACCATTTCTTTTTGTAATCGAATACGCTTCAACTTTAGGCTCTTTTGGCGTCATCTGTTAGAATGTTTTATCTCTGTCGAGACTGAACTATAACTTTTTAGTGATTGACACTCTTTATTGAATTTTCTTTTAGACCCGTCCGGCCTGACTGCTCGACTGTGTGAGAAGCTTGTTATTTCCGATGTGAGTGTTTATCATGTTGTGAGTAAAAGCGTGTATAAAGTTCCCATTCTGACTCGTTTGGTCTTGATGCGATCTGGTTGAGGTTTTTTTTTCTCGTGAGGTTAGTCTTTACCTATTCGTGCGTGAAAGTGTTTTTGAAGTTTCCTTTTAGATTGGTTTGCCGTCGTTGCCATTTGTTCGAGTTTATCTTATCCTGTTGAGGTTAGTCTTGATGTTTGTGGTTATCGGAAAACATGTATGAGTTTCCTTCTAGACTCGTTTGGTCTTCTTGCCCATCTGATTGAGATATTTTTCCTGTCAAGGTTAGTCTTTACCTTTGGTAGCGTGTGGTGACGGGATTTGACGCATGTGATTCATTATTAGGCATGCCTCGAATGGTGTGATACTCCTTATGAGGCAAGATTCTGAATTTGTTTAGAGGGTATACCTTTCCTTCAATTCACAGCTTCATTGAAAAACGTCGATTTGACAGTAACGGAGAGAAACCGATCGCGAAATATGCATATGGCGCTATTATTGTTGGGAGTCTTGTCACAGCGAAATCCTCACTGGTGTTGTTCTCTGTAGTGTTATTGATTAGTGTTGGAGTTCTTTCAGAACATTCTCTACTTGTTCCTATTTTACAGAAGAGTTGTTATTCTGATGCAGTCAGCTGCCACGGGTTACTGGTTAAGGCGCCCAGAATGTCAGTCGTGCTCTAGCACGCCGCAAATCAAACAATTCATGATAACGCTTCTTAGCGCCGTGCAGGGTGTTATCGATAAGTGCAGAGGGGGTGCCGCGCGTCGTACGCAATCGCACATCGCTGCGCTGAGGAAGATCCCGTCGCCTTTGCGTGTATGGAGTTGACCGCTTCTATCGAAACCGACGATCCGCGCGGAGCGCATGCGGGCGGCCCATCTGGCAGCTTGCAACTGTTGCCTGAAGGCTGCGATTTCAAGATTGAACACGGAGGACAAGGCTAGGACATATGGTGACAAGGAACCGAGTGGTTTTTATAGTTGTTTAGTTTTTGTGGATTACATCCACGCTACTTTTCGAGTGACGGTTTTGCACGCTACCCGAGTTCTAATGTGTGCCATGTGACCTCACAAACGAAATCCTTATGAACGGGCAATCTCAACGAATCGATCCGCCAATCTTCTTGTCACAAATAACACCGTTTAGTATGAATCGATTGGAAACTACTCCACAATTTTGAAATATTACCTGCTTTTCTATGCATTTTGTATCATAGAAGTGAGATGTTTGAAGGTCTTCAACAAAAAGAAAACTTCCATACGCTGGAAACTTAAAACTTGAAGGTACAGCATCAAGTATTAGAAAAGTCGGTTTTATCTTATGAAAACTGCATCAGTCGACCATTGCGTCGCACCTTAAAGGAACGCTCTCTTTAGTACTAAGCGTTGAAGTTGAAGAGGGAGTTCATAGTGCGTAAGCAACTTTCATTCCTCCGGAGTTCGTCCCCCTCGTTAGGTTTACAATTAGTCTAAGGTGCCTTCTTCCAGACTCCAGGTTGCACCTGGAGCAAACATCTGATCTGGGAAATAGAAATTTTTCATTACTATGCCCACAAGTCGCTGTAGGAAACAGGGTCATGTATGTTGTCGAATGAAGGGCGCTAATGAGATTTAAAACCAACAAACGATTACAGCTATCACAACATACGTGATCCTTGTCCTCGAGTCTACAACCACTAGAGAACCAAAGTTGGGTTCCTTTTCCATCATCTCAATTATGTTCCATCGAATTCGCGGTCTTCAGCTAAAATAAGGCAAGGTGCCAGATGGAGCGCGCGTATGCGCGCCGCGCGGATCGTCGATTTTTATAGAAGCGGCCTATGGAGTTTTCTTTTTAGAGTCGTTTGGCGTCTACCACGTCTGTCTGAGATATTTGTTTCTGGTGAGGTTAGTCTTTACGTTTTGGTGCTTGAAAGTGTTTTTCAAATTTCCTTTTACATTCGTTTGGCGTAGTTGTCCATCTGATTTAGAATTTTTTCCTATCTAGGCTAGTCTTCACCTCTTCCATGATTGGAAGTGTCTATAGAGTTTCTTTCTAGAGTCGTCTGGCATCATTGCCCATCGGTCTGAGATTATTTTTCCGTGGAGGTCAGCCTTCACCTTTTTCGTTATTGGACGTGTGCATAGAGTCCTTTCAGAGTTCCTTGCAGAGTCGTTCGGCGTCATTGCCCATCTGGTTGGACTTCTTTCCTGTCGACGTTTGCATCTACGTTTTTTGTGAGTGACCTTAATTTTTTCGTGAGTGAAAGCCTTTTTGAAGGTTCCTTTTAGATTCATTTGGCATCATTGCTCATCTGATTGAGAATTTTTTTTTCGTCGAGGTGAGTTTTGAAATGTTCTGTCAGTGGGAGCGTGTGTACAGTTACCTTTCAGGTTACCTTGACCTCGTTACACATCTTTCTGAGATTTTTGTTTGTGTCGAGGTAAGTCTTCACCTATTTTCATGGTTGGAAGCCTGTATAGTGTTTCCTTTCAGATTACTTTGGCGTCATTGCCCATCTGTCTGAGATTGGTTTTCCTGTCGAGGTTAGTCTATACGTTTTTCGTGTGTGAAAATGTTTTCAATGTTTCTTTTTAGATTCGTTTTGCCTTGTTGCTTATCTGTTTGAAATTTTTTACCTGCAGCCATAAGCGCCACTCGCTCGTGTGAGTTGTTTTTCGACTTGACAACGATTTTGTATATAACAACATTTTCCTTCCTTCGGCATTTTTAGGTAACCTCGACTGTCGTAGCCACCCACGCGCTTCGCCTACGAACATTTACGACGCCACAGTGAAACCAACTCTTGTCTCGCAGCTATGTAGGTTCAGAAATGCTGTTGGTGTTATTTTGATGGGAAATCGCGGCATATCCTCAAGTTTCACGACTTCTTTTTAGGAACGATATTTTTATGGCATAAGACATTTGTCAGGAAGGAGAGCCTTCGGCCGCAGAGCAAGCGAAGGTGAATACCACTCAGGCCCACTCAGAGAGGCTCGACAGCGCGATAGCTGATGATTATCTTAGTTTCAGTTCTTGTGAATATTTTATTGTTATTCGTGCCATTTGTTGTTCCTCTTGTTACGCTTAACATTAATGAAACTGTTAAGTTGTCTGTTGAAATTGATTTGTTAGAATAAAAAGAGTTAGTGGATATGTTTTCATCTTAATCACAATACAGAACAGTTCAACAGCGTAGTCTAGATAAGTGAATCCGGAATTCTCCCAATTGTCTTTCTAGCGCATCACGAATTTCCTCGGTTGAGTGGAGACCATTACCACCACACCATTACCCGCCAGCTGCACTCTTTGTCTGCGTCCCTTCCACCCTACCCACCAGCAGATAGATGGCGCAGTGGCATGGATGGCCATCCTCGCGCACGGCACAGAGGGTTCAGTTCCGGCCAAAGACGCAGTTTTGCAAGGAATGTAGTGAAGTTCGCCGTTCAGAGCAGGGTCATCTGGCTGTCTCGCCTTTCATTATTCGCCGTTTACGGCCGTAGTTCACCACCTTTAACTCCCAGTCTATGGCACTTTACTACCGTCCCAGTTTTGTGGTTATCGTGAAAAGCGTATAGAGTTTTTGCTATTCGAATTCTTTGGTCTTCTTGCCGCATCCGAATAGGTTAGTCTTTACCGTTTGGTAAGTGTCAGTGTTTTTGAAGTTTCCTTTCAGATTGGTTTGGCTCGTTGCCCATCTCTGTGAAGATTTTTATTTCTGTCGAGGTTAGTCTTTACCTGTAATGTAATGGACCTCAAAAGGTGTCCATCAGACTCGGGGGGGGGGGTTGAGAGGGCACTCCATAGAGCTATTCAGTATCAATTATGAGTATAGGTTATAGTGTGCGTTCCAGTTTTGATTGTTTCACGCTTTAATTGATATAAGTTGTTCAATCGTACTGCGAACGGTTAAAGCAACAATGGCAGAAAGGATTTGTGGGGTAACAACCGTTGATGAAGTTGTGAGTGAACAGCTGATCGATATTGAAAAAAAAGCAAAGATAAACGTAGGGGGCTTAAATCAGGGCGTGGGGCGTGTGCCAACTAACTCGTCCAGAAGATGGAATTAGTCGTCAGAAGACAGCTTCTGAAGACTCTAGCGCCGTTGTCGTGTGCACTTCTAAGCCGCGACAACGGCACATCAGTACTACACGTAGGCTACCCTATCCCTCCGATGAACAGATTTCTTATCATGACTCCTGTTGGGATTGTTGCTTTAACAAGTGTTGTCTATGGCTTTTTTTTCAAAAATCGAATACTTGAACGATCGTTGATGTTCAAAATGTTATCGGCTGTAGCACCCTTTGTTGCCATTGTTGTTGAGAAGAATTTAGTTTCGGGTTGAGGTTGATTTATCAAACTCGCTCCCTATCAAAATTGTGACTCAAATATTCAATTTTAACACAAAAAAAACTGTTGAGGATCCACTGAACAACACACGCGCATAAATAGACACACACAGATGGAACAAACATTCCAGGACATTAAATTATAACATCAAAGGAAATAACCATAGAGCCCTTGGTGAAAACATCAATTAACACATCAACAAAAGCATTAATTTTTTACCGTTAGAATTGGTAGTCGTCATCCGTCAAACCCACAAACGGAATTGTGTTGAATTCTGCGCTGTTCATGACGCATTTCAGAAATGGATCGCAAGAGGATCCCTCCAATCCCTTCGGCTGTATCCGACTTTATTGTTACCCGCGTGTTGGAACACGACAATTTGCCTAATAAAAGGCTGTAAAAGTCGATTGCATGACATCGAATACAAGTTAGGAAGGAAATTTGGACTTCAATTTCAGCAGAGATCGCGAGGAAATTTGGGGTGGTGTTGACACCACTGCAAATTCAGAACCATTTCACTAATAGAAAAAAGAGGGTGATGACCCCCGATATAGTTGAGAAAAAGTGAGTGGCTACTGTGCATATCGACCGTTTTCTCTATGATAAGGAACTGCTCAGATACCATCAACAAACGGGGCAAGGGAGACTCGAATTGCTCGAAGGATTGCTCAACAAAGTGCGCAGTTTGCAAAGCGACAAAGACGAAGATTTGTATAGATATTTCGCAAACACAGCTGCATATCGAAAAGACGATGTCATGGAGACATATAAGCCACACCAAAATGCGGAAGATCGGATAGAAAATGAAGAACTCGACATCTCCGGAGGACCATCAAATGTTGGAAAGGAAAAGGCTGTGGATGTCGAGGTACCACACCTGTATATCCCGCCCCTTTGTTGGTCAGTCACTGATGACCTCTTCAGGTGGAAGTAGACGATGAAATCGGCGGGAGTTCGGATGAAGAATTGCATCTTCCAAAAAGGCACAGCGTCTCAGCGGCTGAGATTCGCCAGTTGCAGAAGGAGATGTTAATGGTATGGATTGTATGTCTCCACTGTGTTCCTTGGCACGATATAAGACCTATTCAGAGTGAAAAAAAACTTTTTGATAATTTTATCCACATGTGCAATGTGCACGTACGTTCAATGGAGGATTCGATCAGTATTCAACGACGCGTAGCCGATGAAGTCATCAAAAAATTGGAGGTATGCGGAACTAAAATTGCTTTGTTCATGGAAAGATCAGTGGAATTTAGGGCACATGTTCATGCGGCAAAGGTCGTCTAAAATCACCGATCCCCAGTCAGGACGATAGCTGTATACAGCTGTGCGATGAAAATTTTGAAGCTAGCCTTTTTGAAGGAAGCAGTTCGACATATTCGAAGTAGTTGCTACAGTGCTGTTCAATTTTGTAAGTGAAAGGAAAATCAAATCAACAGAAATGCTAATTAAATTCTCCATACATTTGCAGTGTTCGTTTTTCGTTTCACTCATGATGTCCTCACGCGTGTTCACTTAACCGTATTGGACCACCACGTGCTTGACACCGACTGTCGTCGAGGCGGGGAGAGAAAAGTTCACCGGGGGCGCGGACGCGCTGCGCCAAGAGCGTCGAGAAGAGCAGGCAGTTTTGCAGACACTTCGCTCAAACAGTAACGAGGCTACACATCACAATCCTATGCATTTGATAGTGCGGAAAACTACTGCATAACGTAGAGCATCCTCGCGTAGAGAATGGAATTTTTCTATGTGCAGTGTCCCAATTGTAGTGCACGATTGCTAATGAAGGGAAGGAAGTCACCACCCTCGGGTGACCTCTTTAGGAGTGCACAATGAAACTGAAGTTGATTCTTATGTGCGACTTTTTCAACCTAATAGCTCACAGTAATTGATGTATTGAAATATTGGCTGCAACGCTCGCCCTTTTTCGTGCCCTCGCCCCGCTATGACGTCAAAATGACATCATAGACACGCGAAAGCGTCCGTGCCGCCGGTGAGCATTTCCATGGAGCCGTCGTCGACACATCCTCATTGGAGAAAAGGAAAGGTGAGGACGAGGTTCTAAATGAGTGGTCGGGTTTACTTGTGTGCAATGAAAATATCTTACATTCGCAACTGTCAAGCTTATTGTCTCCTAACATAATCGATTTGTAGCAGAATTCCCGGCTACGACTTCCCCAGAGTTGTGGAATGGCCACCCAGAAGACCGTAACATTTTTTTGTCCATTGCGCGTAATCTGGATCTCTCAGAAGACTGAATGGTTCATCGAAGCGCTTAATGGTTCGTTTCAATATGTGCTTTGAAGATTGTACTTCCCAACTGATCGCTCAATTTCAGGGGACCAGTTTCTCAATCGCGAGGCACAGCGCTCAAAAGCTTCTGCAATCCAAGACGATGCGTACATGCGTCAAGTGTTGTGTTATTGTTTGATGCTGTTTACTTCATATGTTGATGTGATGTTTATTAAATGTTGACTTTACTCGGTTTGTACTCCCTTATACATAAACTTGCAAAAACAACCGAATTTTTACAAAGCTACGACCAAAGTGCATATAATTGTCAGATTGATTGAGAGAGGATGAGACAAATCTTGTGGAAAGAAATAGCGGAGTTAGATAAAGGTGAGACAACAGAAACAAATAAGAAGTCATTTTTTCGTACTGGAACCTCTCAGCGAAGGACCCAGAAAGAAACTTCACAAATATATGGGACACAAAGCGATGAAAATTATAGTGCAGAAGGTGGTTCGAGCTCATATACCCGTGCTAGTGCTGGCGTGTAGTATTTCGCGACGACCGAGACGGCGGAAGCCATGTTTGATCTAATGCGATAGATACCTACTGATTTACAAATCAGCAGATGCGTCCGCTCTGTGCTTCTCTGTCGACGATGTAGAGTCATTCGAATCATGGAATAGCACAACAGTCCTTCCCAACGTTTTGTCCACAAGTACTCAAAAAATGTCGGTAATCCCAAGTCGACTACATTCACTACCGCTTTGATTGTTCGAAGCAAAGAGCGACATAAAACCCTCGTCCGATTCGTTGCCACCCCAGACAAATGTCTGCCCTTTTTTAAAAGTCTGTCTTACACCCAGCACGGATAATAACATAGCACGGAAGAAGTTCAATGAAAACAACATCTTCAATGTAAGTGCTGAAAATAACATGATGTATGATGAATGCAGGACCTGTTCGCCGGTGTGAATCATGTGCACTCTCGTAGAAGCGGCCAAGCCTTGTGTCCTACAATAACTGGTTAAGTTCAGAAACCATTTTTATTATTGAAAATTTCCGATTCGTGAACCCAAGTTAAACTAAAAGCTCATAAATTATGAACTTTAGACTGACAATTTATATCCATCTATCAATCTATCCAAATACCTCCCATAAGAGACACATAAATAACACTTACGTCTGATCCATTCTCGATAAGAAGAGCAGACATTTCGCGATGACCTTCCTGAGCAGCCAAATGCAGAGGAGTAAAGCCAGCTCTTGATTTCGCGTTTCGGATCAGCCTAAATAACTGACTATACTGTTCCTATGAAAGATACTTGGATTTGCATCCAACATTTCATAAACATCCAAAAGTTTACATAGTGCGAAACTTAGTTTGGGGAATGCTTTGGGTTGTAGAAAAATTCATTATTGAAGCATTACTT